TGTGTGAATGAAAACTGACTGACCTGGACTATGATTTCAAACCTGCTTGATTTAAACAGCGTTTTAGTAATTTTAAAACATTTGAAAATTGTTTTAATTGCTTTTATCATTTATCACTGTTGTCGGCATTGAATGAATGCCTGTTATGAAGCTGCCCTGAGTCCCCCCTCTGGGGTGAGAAGAGCGGGATACAAATATGCAAAATAAATAAATAAATAAATATTCCCTTTAAGGAATGGCATTCTGTTTTTTTGCAAGTTTCATCACTATTTTTAAAAATTGTTTTCCACAAGCTTAGAAGTAGTCTTTTGCCTGAAAGTGACCTAAACTAAAAGTTTAAGTGACCTAAACTAAAAGTTTAGGTGCTGCTGAAAATTGCAAAATGTGCATAAATTCCACTGAAGCCACAGAGGGAACATCCCCCATTAAAGCAAAGTCTAATATTTACAGAAGACAGTATTCTGCATAAAAGATTATGTATGCCAGGGGAAAGGATCATAACAAGGGAGAAAAGAGAGCTGCTTAACATCATTTAATACTTGGATAGCAGGCTGAGCAGGTAGTTAGATCAGCTGGTCTCAGGCTTCCCTATAATGGTGAGGAGTTTTCTATGTCAGTTTTAATTATAATAATCATTCAATACAGGTGAAATATACTCATTTTATGCAAACCTGTTGCTCTTTTCTAAATGAAGTATCAATGGGTGCATCCACACTGTAGAATTAATGCAGTTTGACACCAATTTTAAATGCCACAGTTCAGTGCCATAGAACCATGGGAGTAGTTTTGCAAGGTATTTAACCTTCTCTGCCAAATTGGCTGGTTCCTCACTAAACTACAACTTGTGGGATTCCACAGCATTGAGCCATGGCTGTTAAAGTGGTATGGAACTGCATTAAGTCTACAGTGGAGAAATCATTGCAGGTCTATTCATAGAAAACCCTTGAGGATCTACTCTCACTGTAGAATTAATGCAGTTTGCCACCACTTTTGTGTTTTAATTTTTTTAATTGTATACAAGTGACAAGCATAAGCACAAATTGCTTATGCTGGTCACTTGTATACAATAATAAAAAATTAAAGCACAAAAGTGGTGACAAACTGCATTAATTCTACAGTGAGAGTAGATCCTCAAGGGTTTTCTATGAATAGACCTGCAATGATTTCCCACTCTCAGGGTGAGTCTCCACTGTAGACTTAATGCAGTTCCATACCACTTTAACAGCCATGGCTCAATGCTGTGGAATCCCACAAGTTGTAGTTTAGTGAGGATACAAGTTGAATAGGTTGGGTGAGAATATACAACCCTGCCGTATGACTTTCCCAATCTTGAACCAGTCTGTTGTTCCGTGGTCAGTTCTGACTGTTGCTACTTGGTTCTTATACAGATTCCTCAGGAGAGAGACAATGTGGCTTGGTCTGCCCATACCACCAAGAACTTGCCATAATTTATTATGATCCACACAAAGGCTTTAAAATAGTCAATAAAACAGAAACAGATGTTTTTCTGAAACTCCCTGCCTTTCTCCATTATCCAGTGGATATTGGCAATCTGGTCTCTCGTTCCTCTGCCTTTTCTAAACCCAACTTGTACATCTGGCAACTCTCGCTCCATGTATTTCTAGAGTCTTCCTTGCAGGATCTTGAGCATTACTTTACTGGCATGAGATAACGCTTTTAACTAGGAGACTCAAATTGATATATGTTTTTATTGATATTGATTGTTTTACTTGGATTTATATTTAAATTGATTGTTTTTAAATTGTATTTTATGTCTTTGATATTGACTGTAAACCACTCCGAGTCCCCTGTGGGCTGAGAGGACCCGTATATAAACGTAGTAAATAAATGAGAAATAAGAGCCTCTGTACGAAAGTTTGAGCATACTTTAGCATTTCCCTTTTTTGGTATGGGGATATAAGTTGGGTTGTTGTAGGTTTTTCCGGGCTATATGGCCATGTTCTGGAGGCATTTTCTCCTGACGTTTCGCCTGCATCTATGGCAAGCATCCTCAGAGGTAGTGAGCTAAACTTCACTACCTCTGAGGATGCTTGCCATAGATGCAGGCGAAACGTCAGGAGAAAATGCCTCTAGAACATGGCCATATAGCCCGAAAAAACCCACAAGAACCTAGTGATTCCAGCCATGAAAGCCTTCGACAATACAACGTCTCTAGGCTTCCGTAGCAGGAAGGAGACATAGGCCACTTCCACACTGTTCCTTTATCCCAGGATCTGATCGCTGACTATCTGTTTATCTCAAGTTATATTAGGTGGGAATATAATAGGTAAGGTAAAGGTTTTCCCCTGACATTAAGTCCAGTCGTGTCCGACTCTGGGGGTTGTTGCTCATCTCCAGAGGCGGCCCTAGGTAATTTTCAACGGGAAGCAAACAGTATTTTGCCCCCCACCCCAAACTAATCACTGTTGATTTTTTCCAGTCTTGATGGCCATTCTTGTGTTTTCCATATTTGCTGGCATATGGCATGCATCACCTTGACAGCTATCGGAAAATCTGTGCACGATGGATACCCAGGATGTTGACGCTTGAAATGAAAGCGCACAGACTTGAAATTTGGCAGGAACCATGCCAGCTTCAGAAAACATGTTCATCGTTGGCAGAAATGTATCCAATTGTCTGGTGATTATGTGGAAAAGTGAATAGTAGTAGTTAAAGAGCACATTCTAAGGATGATTTCTGCTTTTGATCTATTAAAATATTGTATTGTCGAAGGCTTTCATGGCCAGAATCATTGGGTTGTTGTAAGTTTTTCCAGGCTATATGGCCATGTTCTAGAGGCATTTTCTCCTGACATTTCGCCTGCATCTATGGCAAGCATCCTCAGAGGTAGTGAGGTCTGTTGGAAGTAGGAAAATGGGTTTATATATCTGTGGAATGACCATGTAGGGGCAACAAAACCAAAATATTTCCCAAAAGGCAGAAGCCCCCTTTCCAATAGGGAGGGCAAAGATGGACACCACAAAAGTTGAATCCTTTAAACTGCAAAAAACTATTTATTATTGTGTGGCCATAGCAATAACGACAAACAAGCATACAGGGATGAAATCAAAGGGTTTGTTGCAATCCCCAATGGGACTGCAGAGCATTTATAGTAAATGGAATATACATTTTCATTGGTTCCCAAAGACAAATCATTTCATTGGTCTAAGCTAGCTATGTAGTTGTTCATTAGTTGTCTATGATTTTGATTGACATTATAGCACACGTGGGATCCTAACAATGGCACAACTATAACATAACTATGGTCCATTGTTCTCTGACCATGACTGTATCTTATCTGTTAGTCTGTTGCAAACATGGCTTCAGAGCAACTGGGAAACTTGGGGGTTCTATCTAGCAAACAGCTAGCTGGTTTTGTCCGGATACGTTGTTATCCTTGAATAGTAACTTCTTCTTTGGAGCACCGATTTCTCAAACAATCAGCATTTTCTGTGAACATAGGCCTACTGCAGAATATGGCAGTAAATCATGACATATGGGCAGTGGGGAAATATCTGAAAATTCCCTTTTTAGAACCACGTCTCCTCCAACCAGAGTGGGACAAAGGACTTTTTTTCTGCTGCAGATAGGTGTGAACGTTTCAACTGACCACCTTGATTAGCATTTAATGGCTTGGAAGTGCCTGGAGGGAATCTTTTTGTTGAGAGTGATTTGATGTGCCTGATTGTTTACTCTCTGTTGTTTTGCTGTTGTAATTTTTGAGTTTTTTAATACTGGTAGCCAGATTTTGTTCATTTTCATGGTTTCTTCCTTTCTGTTGAAATTGTCCACATGTATATAAGTTGATTTTTTCCAGTCTGACGGCCATTCTTGTGTTTTCCATATTTGCTGGCCTATGGCATGCATCACCTTGACAGCTATCGGAAGATCTGTGCACGATGGGTACCCAGGATGCTGACGCCTGAAATGAAAGCGCACAGACTTGAAATTTGGCAGGAACCATGCCAGCTTCAGAAAACATGTTCATCGTTGGCAGAAATGTATCCAATTGTCTGGTGATTATGTGGAAAAGTGAATAGTAGCAGTTAAAGGGCACATTCTAAGGATTATTTCTGCGTTTGATCTATTAAAATATTGTATTGTCGAAGGCTTTCATGGCCAGAATCACTGGGTTGTTGTAGGTTTTTCCAGTTTTTTCTAAGGTTTTTTCTATGTACACTTTCAAAGAGTACAGGCAGTCCCCAAGTTATGAACACAATAACTATGAACACAATAGATTCTGTCACTTTGTTCTAAAGCTGAATTTGTATGTAAATTGGACCAGGTACATTTTTAAGGTAAAGGTTTCCTGTATTGTCGAAGGTTTTCATGGCCGGGATCACTGGGTTGTTGTAGGTTTTTCCGGGCTATATGGCCATGTTCTGGAGGCAATTTTTCTCCTGACGTTTCGCCTGCATCTATGGCAAGCATCCTCAGAGGTAGTGAGGTCTGTTGGAAGTAGGAAAATGGGTTTATATATCTGTGGAATGACCAGGGTGGGACAAAGGACTTTTTTTCTGCTGCTGCTAGGTGTGAACGTTTCAACTGATCACCTTGATTAGCATTTAATGGCTTGGAAGTGCCTGGGGGGAATCTTTTTGTTGAGAGTGTTTTGATGTGCCTGATTGTTTACTCTCTGTTGTTTTGCTGTTGTGATTTTTGAGTTTTTTTTAATACTGGTAGCTAGATTTTGTTCATTTTCATGGTTTCTTCCTTTCTGTTGAAATTGTATTAAAATATTCCCATCCAAACCCAAGTAACGAAGGTGGAGGCATTACTTTTCATTCAACCCTCGTAGAAAGAAAGGCTCGCTGGCCCTTTAAATCCTCCTTCCTCGCCTTTAGCCATGACTCCTTTTCCCTTCTCTCGCTGTGCTCCCCGCCCTAGTCCTCCAGCAACCCATCGGCCGCTCTTGCCGACCCTATTTCCCCTCGCCTCTATGGTTCCGGCTGTTCTTATTGGCCAAGCTGGGAGCCACGCCGAGCTCTGATTGGCTGGGCGGCGGCGCCTGGCGGGGTGCAAAGGGGAGCTGTCAGGCTGCCGAGGGAGGGGCTTTCCGCTGCTGCCGGCGCTGGGCCTGCGTTCCCCAATGGGGGGTGCCTGAGACCCCGGCATCCGCGCCCCTTCCCTTCCCTTCTCCGGCTGGGCGGGTGAGTGAGTGCCTTGCTTGGGGCTCATTGACAGCAGCCTGGCCGGGGCTCAGCATTGGAGGGGTGGGGCGCCTGGAAGGTCAGACTATGAGGTCTTCCTTGTTCAAAAAGGGTGGGGTTTGGTCTGTCTTGGGGAGGAGTGCTGGTCGATGGGATTTAGAGTGCTTCTGAAGACACACCGCATTGGAAAGGCTGCGTTAGGGCGGGGCACCTGCTTTGGGGATTGCCTAAAATACAGAATATATAAAATTGGAAGGGACCCCCAAGGACCATCCAATCCAACCCCATTCTCCCAATCAAAGCCTTCCCAACAGATGGCCATCTAGACTCTGCTTAAAAACTTCCTTGGGGTGTGGTAGTTTTTGTTCAATAGAGGCTGGATGGCCATCTGTCGGGGATGCTTTGATTCTGGAAGCTCTACAATTACTGGTCTCTAGAGCTAGTTCAGGCATGGGCAAACTTCGGCCTTCCTTCAGGTGTTTTGGACTTCAACTCCCACAATTCCTAACTCCCACAATTCTTAACAGCCGGTGGGCATGGGCAAACTTCAGCCTTCCTCCAGGTGTTTTGGAGTTGGAGTCCAAAACAGGTGTTTTTCCTCCAGGTGTTTTGGAGTTGGAGTCCAAAACACCTGGAGGAAGGCCGAAGTTTGCCCATGCCTACCGGCTGTTAAGAATTGTGGGAGTTAGGAATTGTGGGAGTTGAAGTCCAAAACACCTGGAGGAAAGCCGAAGTTTGCCCATGCCTACCGGCTGTTAAGAATTGTGGGAGTTAGGAATTGTGGGAGTTGAAGTCCAAAACACCTGGAGGAAGGCCGAAGTTTGCCCATGCCTACCGGCTGTTAAGAATTGTGGGAGTTAGGAATTGTGGGAGTTGAAGTCCAAAACACCTGGAGGAAGGCTGAAGTTTGCTCATGCCTACCAGCTGTTAAGAATTGTGGGAGTTAGGAATTGTGGGAGTTGAAGTCCAAAACACCTGGAGGAAGGACCAAGTTTGCCCATGCCTACCGGCTGTTAAGAATTGTGGGAGTTAGGAATTGTGGGAGTTGAGGTCCAAAACACCTGGAGGAAGGCCAAAGTTTGCTCATGCCTACCGGCTGTTAAGAATTATGAGAGTTAGGAATTGTGGGAGTTGAAGTCCAAAATACCTGGAGGAAGGCCAAAGTTTGCCCATGTCAGAACTAGGAGATAACAGGCTTCACCCCCTCCTCAATGCTTTGATTCTGGAAGCTCTTTTCCTGCAATTTGAATTAATTCCTGGTCTCTAGAGCTAGTTCAGGCATGGGCAAACTTCGGCCTCCCCAAGTGTTTTGGATTTCAACTCCCACAATTCCTAACGTTAGGAATTGTGGGAGTTGAAGTCCAAAATACCTGGAGGAAGGCTGAAGTTTGCCCATGTCTGAACTAGGAGATAACAGGCTTCACCCCCTCCTCAATGCTTTGATTCTGGAAGCTCTTTTCCTGCAATTTGAATCAATTACTGTTCTCTAGAGCTAGTCCAGGCATGGGCAAACTTCGGCCTTCCTTCAAGTGTTTTGAACTTCAACTCCCACAATTCCTAACGTGGGAGTTGAAGTCCAAAACACCTGGATGAAGGCCAAAGTTTGCCCATGTTTGAACTAGGAGATAACACCCCCTCCTCAATGCTTTGATTTTGGAAGCGCTTTTCCTGCAGTTTGAACCAATTACTGGTCTCTAGAGCTAGTTCAGGTGTGGGCAAACTTCAGCCTTCCTCCAAGTGTTTTGGACTTCAACTCCCACAATTCCTGTTAGGAATTGTGGGAGTTGAAGTCCAAAACACCTGGAGGAAGGCCAAAGTTTATCCATGCTTGAACTAGGAGATAACAAGCGTCACCCCCTCTTCAATGTACCTCCTTTCAGATATTTAAACATAGCTATTCCAGCCCTCCTTTAAGTAAACGAAACCTATTCAGTTGTTGTACGAGTGGGTTTATTAATAAAAGACGCTCCTCATAAATGTACAGCAGAGCAACTTATTAGCAGCAGCATGACCCAGCACCCCAAAGTGATAAAAAAAAAACCACAGACCAATGTTACCTCTTCCATAGGAGGCCTTTCTTTGGCTGTAGTAGTATAATACTTCTTTGGCAGTAGTAGTAAAAAACAATAGTAGTAAAATACTGTTGTTGCACTATTTACAACAAGGTTTCCACAACACAAATAAACAAATACACAGTAGCTTTAAACACAGCAGCCTTCACTTTGCAGCTTGCTCACACAAGGCTTCTCTCATACTCCATAGGACAACACAACTTTGACCCACTGAATCTAACAGGCCTCGGCCTACTAACCCTTTCAGTGCTTGACTCACACTTTAGTAATCAAAAATACCCAGTTAATATTTTAATATTTCTGACACCAGTTCCCTAAACTACTCCTCTTAGAACTTGGCTCCCAGACCTTTGACTATTTTAATCACCCTTTTCTGGACATAGACAGACAAGGTCAAAATCCTGCTTGAATTGTACCCAAAATTGGACACAGGATTCCAGGGGAGGTCTGACCAAAACAGTAAAGACTTTACATTGAAGCAGGCTGGAATTGTATTGTTGTGTGTTTTTAAAGAGGAGAGCCATGCAAAATATGGTGGAAGATGTAAAGAGGGTTGGAGGAGGTCTTGCAAGAAAGACCAAGGTAGCTCTGCTCTACACCCATCTTAATGTCTTCTTGTTTACAAATATTCCCCTTTCTCCATAAAGTTGATCCCTGGTGCATTCTGCCCATATCTTGCATCTAAAGGTGCATCTATACCAGGCACGGGCAAACTTTGCCCCTCCAGGTGTTTTGGACTTCAACTCCCACAATTCCTAACAGCCAGGCTGTTAAGAATTGTGGGAGTTGAAGTCCAAAACACTTGGAGGCTATTAGGAATTGTGTGAGTTGAAGTCCAAAACACCTGGAGGACTGAAGTTTGCCCATGCCTGATCTACACTGTAGAATGAATGCAGTTGGACACCACTTGAACTGCTGTAGTTCATGGTATGGAATCATGTGATTTGTGGTTTTATAAGATCTTTAGCCTTCTCTGTCAAAAAGTGCTGGTGCCTCACAAAACTACAAACCCTATGATTCCTCAACACTGAACCATTGCATTTCAAATGGCGTCAAACCACATTAATTCCAGTATAGATCAGAGGTTCTCAAACTTTTTAAGCAGAGGGCCTCAGACTGTTGGGGGCTCCAAACTATAGTCTGAACAAATTCCTATGCTCACTACACATATCTTATTTGTAGTGCAAAAAAATAAAATAATGAAAGAACAATACAACATTTAAAATTACATTTTAACCAACATGTTATACAATCCTGGAGTTTGTAGTTTGGTGAGGTACCAGCAGTCTTTGCATCTTTGCAGAGAAAGCTAAAGACTGCAATTATGACTCCCATTATTCCATAGCATTAAGCCATGACAGTTAACGTGGTGTCAACCTGCATTCATTCTGCAGTGTATAGATGCACCTTTGAACTGCACCCTGAAATGGCAGTTTCAGTGAGCCTACAGGTTTGGGAGTTTCTGTCAGAACGAATGGCAATCATTAGGAAGATGAGAACAAAGCTTTTTTATGGCTTGTTATTTCTCTCTGTGGCTTAGGTTTACTAGGTGCTCTGATTAAGCAGCCCAAGGCAAGCTAGTCAGACAGTAGTAATCAAGTAGCCATGGTTGGGTTGGATGGCTCTGAATATCTTAACATTTAGATTCTAAATCCTAGAGATTACTCCAGATTTCACCAAGTTTTTCCATAAGTCATAATCTATAGTTTCCATACCTTCCTGTAAACAAGCTGAAGTATATATAACTGAATAGTTTCTCTTCATACCTTGGAGTCCCTCCTTTTCTTCAGTGGACTTACATAATGACATGTATTTTGCAATCTTTTTGAAGAAAACACGTTTCCTCTTGATTTTAAAGTGTTTGGTGGCATTTTATAATTACGTACTAATAAAGCTATGCTGTCTCCTGGCTTACTGTCAGCCCACTAGATTTCTCTGAGTTGTGATATAACAACTACAACAACTTTATTCTTATACTCCACCACCACCTCTCCGAAGAGACTCAGGGCAGCTAACAAGTGGGACAGATGTCTACATAACATGAGAGCCAAAACAATCCATAAAACAAAACATATTAAAATAAGAGCATCATAAAATCCAACAGCCAAGATAAAAACAGACTAGACATAACAGAACTAATCAATCTCGAATGCTTGCTGGAACATCCAGGTTTTAAAATCCCTACGGAAAGAGGACAGTGTGGGTTTGCCTAATCTCCCTGGGGAGGGTGTTCCAAAGTCAGGAGGCCACCATCGAGAAAGCCCTCTCCCTCGTCCTCAAGAGCTGTGCTTGTGATGGTGGTGGAAGCGAGAGGAGGGCCTCCCCAGCAGATCTTAGAACCCATGCCAGCTCATAGGGGAAAATGTGATCACGAAGATAGGTGGGGCCCAAACTGTTTAGGGCTTTGTAGGTCATAACCTACACTTTGAATTGGGACCGGAAACTTATCAGCAGCCAGTGGAGCTACTTTAATAGGGGCGTTGTGAGCTCCCTGTAATTAGCTCCAGTTAGAAGCCTGGCTGCCGACCTTTGCACCAGTTGCAATTTCCAGGCCATCTTCAAAGGCAGCCCCACGTAGAGTGCATTGCAACAATCCAGATTGTAACCAAGGCATGGACCACCATGGCCAAGTCTAGGAACCAGGGTTTGTAAATCACACTTTGGATTGCATCCTATAAAACTGATCTCCTCAACATGACCAATGAACATGCTGGCTAGGGGATTCTGGGTGTTGTAATCCAAAATTATTTTGTTCTAAGATTTGTGATAACCTCCTCGACTCCTTTCTGGTTTCCTCTAGATACCAGTTTTTAAAAACCAGAACCTGGGAGCTGTAGCCATGTTTGATGCTTGAAATCTGCTGAGAATGAGATGTCAATCTGAAATGCACCTTTCTTTTTTGAGCAAGGTTTCTCAAACTTTGGTCTTTCAGATGTCTTTGACTTCAACTCCTGGGAGACTAAGCCACTGCTCAACAGTGCTGGGAGCAGAAGTTCAAAATATCCAGAAGGCCAATGTTTGGGAGTCACTATTATAGAGATTCAAGAATCGTAATTAGATGCTTTGGCTGTAAATAGTCACATTTTGGAAAAGTGAACATATTAATTTGCTGTGGTGGTTAGCATGAAATATTTAGGGGAGGGGGAAATAAGCAGAAAAGAGGGCTGAGTTCTTAAGAATTTCTGGTGTGAGATTATGATCTGCATGTCTTCAGAAACGTTGATCCTGGTTTTGTTTGTTTGTTTGTTTGTTTGTTCAGCTTGCCCTAGAACCCAGTGGAAATGACAGAATACAAACTGGTGGTGGTGGGTGCTGGTGGTGTTGGGAAGAGCGCACTGACCATACAGCTGATCCAGAATCACTTTGTGGATGAATATGACCCCACTATAGAGGTAGGTGGTAGTCTTCATATCTTGTGGCCCAATCCATCCAAAGTCTTTTTTTTGGCCACTTCTTCAAATGTTTTACCATGACTTCAAAAGTCTTTCTCAGTTCTGATTGCTTCATTTTGTCTTACTGTGTGATCTTGTGTCTTTGACAATATTATTATGTATTTATGTTTTTAAAAATAGCAGTCCTGCTTACCAGATAGGTCAGAAAACATAAATAAAAAGTAAACCTCCGTAAATAATGTCTGGTATGCTACCCATGGACTTTTTCATACCTTTGCTTCCTCTTCCTTCTTAATTAAGGCTAGCATTAACAGTTAAGTAGAAGAAACGACTGAACAATGGTAAAAATAGTAACACCTGGTCTGTACTGACTTTTTCCTGTTTCAGCTTCCCTCACCTGCATTTGTGCTGAGGGTCAGCTGTTAAAATTCATTTCTACTTTTTTCCTGTTGGTGCTTCTGAACTTAGGATTCATACCGGAAGCAGGTGGTAATTGATGGAGAGACATGTCTCCTGGATATCTTGGACACAGCTGGGCAAGAAGAGTACAGTGCTATGCGTGACCAGTATATGAGGACAGGAGAAGGCTTCCTTTGTGTTTTTGCAATCAACAACACAAAATCTTTTGAAGATGTTCACCACTACAGGTGAGAGGACGGTTAAGTGTGTTGGCCCATCTGTAAAGCCTCTATTCTTTTACAGTTCAGCAGCAAACCAGCTCTAAATTAAAGTTGTACAATTACTCAAATATGTGCGGAAATATCGAATCAAGTGCAGATATCTATGCTTTATGTAGTTTATTCCATTTGTAGAAAAGTTTTTAATATACATAGTTGAGTCAAACAGCTTTTGGTTTTGAACACAGCAACTAAAGAAAGCCTTGGGAGATGGAAATTGAAGAAATGGCTAGACCAGGAAGGATTTTCCATTATTTTGGTTATGGCTTCCTTTTTGTGTTAAAAAAACCCCCTTCTCAAATCCTGTTTTTCTGCTGGAGGAAAGTACATGCTGGTGTGAGATTTAAGCAACAAAAAAGGAAGTGGAGAGTGGGTTGGGGTTTTATCATCTCAAATATTCTTCCATCCAATCTTACACGAGTCTGAATGTTTGGTTTAAACAAACATAAAAATGGGAAAGGAGGGAAGAGAAGATATACATGTGCTGGATGTGAGTTTATCTGCCCCAGATGTGCTGGTATAATGTATATTCCATTAACAGCAATAAAACCTTTTGTCTGGAGAAATCCCAATTGTCTGAATTCGCAAAGACCACAAAAAAACCCAACCATAACCAAGTTAGGGAACCATTGGTCTGTGCTATTCTCAGTGCATCTTCTCATTGTCCATGCTTTTCCTTTGGTGTAATTCTAGGGAACAAATCAATCGTGTGAAAGACTCTGATGATGTTCCTATGGTGCTTGTCGGCAATAAGTGTGATCTGCCCTCTCGGACAGTTGATACTAAACAGGCTCAGGAGCTTGCCAGAAGTTACGGAATCCCCTTTGTAGAGACCTCTGCCAAAACCAGACAGGTAGGATATGAGCCAGGATATGGGAAAATACAGCATTCCATCAATGTTGGAATTGATTCACCTTATTTCTATTTCCTGTTTAGCAATATCCCCCAAAATCACTAAAGGTGTGATTTTTGGGCGTGCGTGGGGTATTGCAATGTGGGGAAGGATCAGTACCTCCCAGTTCCATTGCTCAATATCTCTAATGGATTTTGGTGCAAACAATGGTGAATCATGTACAGTCATAATTGTTGTGATTTGCTCAAGTTAGATTTTCTATCACAAATCTTTTTTAAAAAATCAAACACCTCATAATAACATTATAGTTTCCTTTGTATGCCCTAAGATGTGATGGTTACAATTATACTAACACCATATACTATGAATAAAGATCAACAAAGAAAAATCCAAACAATGCATTGGCAAAAATAGTAAAATAGGATTACAAAAGCTGCAAGTTTAAAAACAAGCCATGGGGAGCTAACATAAATATTATAAAGCATTTATTAATATGTGGGCCCAAAGATAATGAACTTGTTCTGCCATGTTTGCTCCATCAAGCATGTAGTTGGTGAGCTCACATCTGAATGGGATTAAAAATGATATTGTGCTGGACTGCTAATATAGCTTTGTTGTAATTCATGAACTTTGCTTTGTTATATGACAGACAGCTGCCATTTTGGTTTAGTGTTGTCAGTGCCACCCATTCCCAGATGCCAAAGCTTTCTGTCGGAAGTAGATGTTAATATGCAGATCATCTGCTGGTTTTTAAGCACTGAGTTAGTGGTATAAATGTGAAGAGGCAGCATAGGGTAGAGGCTTTTATACCTAAGAATATCTGCAAAATATCCACCAGCCCCCATCCTATTGAATCTTCCTGATAATGATGACTAAAAGAAATTAGGCTGGACTCAAAAGCTTGCTCACTATCTTATCACATTGTGACTGGCCTCTAAGAAAGGCTCTTCCCAGCTACTTTAAAATCCCACTCCTTCCATAAGGTTTAAATAGTCAACTAACCACATATTTTCTTTACTTTTGATTTCCTTTCCTTAAAGGGAGTGGAGGATGCTTTCTACACTCTGGTGCGAGAAATCCGAAAACACAAGGAGAAGATCAGCAATGGGCGCAAGAAGAAATCTTCCAAAAGGAAGTGTATTATCCTCTGAAGAAGAGACACTATTGCACTGTTGGGAGTGCGAAAAAAAACCCCTTTAAGTTTGGGGATTTTCCCAAGCTGCTGAATAAATTCTGATGGCCATGCCCCTCACCCTTTACAGCAGGAAGGCAAAGGTGGTGGAGTTCTCAAAATGTCAATTATTTTACTATTTCTTAAATGGCACATTGCATCCAACATGAGGAGGATTTGTAACTATATTTGATCCTGTTGCTTATTGCCCCTTCATTTAAAAAAAAAAGAACGATTATCATGTTTTGGGTCCTTAGAATTATAGAGGTAATTCTTATAAAGTGGACTGACCCTGAAGGTCAGATGGAAGTCATAGCACGAATACAGTATCTGTCAGAACCATAGAGGGAGGGCCTTTCTCATTTTTGTAGCAATTTCCCTACTTTGGTTCTCTGCAGGACTGAAAAGCAAGCCACGTAGTCTTGTGCCACCTTCTAGCAGGAACAGAGAAAGGTGGCAGTAAGAAATGCCAAGAGAGCAAATGTGGAAAGCCAAAACTCTCTCTGTAGCTGACTGTTTCATCCCACTGTATTAAAATAGATGGTGCTCTGTTCTTTTTCTTCTAGGTGGTTGAATTTAATATTTAGTTGTTTTTCCTTTTTCTATTTGGGCTGTTTTACATTAAGAGCAAAGGCACATTGCCTTCAAATGATAGAACTTGGTGAGCAGAAGGACCATTTCTGTCTATCAGAAATGCCTAATGTTAAGGCCACATCAACATCCTAAGAGAGAAATAGGTTGAGATTACTAGTGTAAAGTTTCCCAATAATGAAGGCACTGGCATTTGTTAGATATGCATTAAGCAACTGTTCTTTTGAAGACGGTTGGATATCAGTACCAAGACATTTTAGTATAATATGCCATAGTTGCAGCCTTTACTAAATGAGTATTCAGGTATTTGGAGTATATTGACTGACAGATTTTGTAAAAGAGATATGATCCAAAGATCACTTAACACTCTCTCTACTTAGTCTCCTAGCCCTGGTTATGGGAGGGGGATTTGCAGGAAAAAAATACCAGAAGTATGAATTATGATTGCAATAATACTTAAAGGCATCAGATTCTGTCCAGTTGTGTATTTTATATTTTCCTTCCTTCCCTCTTGCCCTTCTCCAACACCTTTTAAACCCATTGTTAACTTCATTTGATCTTTTTTCCACGGTCCTGAGGAACTGTACAATAAATGCCACCACTTGGAATAAACCTGTGAATAAGCTACTTGATACATGATCTGACATTTTTTTCTAAAGAGGATGTGAATTTTACATATTGGTGCAATCAGAGAAATAACGGTAAAAACAGACTGTCTCTTCTTAATTATCCCAGGGATAGAATGCTCTTTTTAAGTAGGGAATACAGCCTTCTAAGCATATTACCTTCCTGCATACACATTGTAGAACTAGAGAAAGGCAGTTAATTCTACCTCTGAGGTTTTGCCTGAAATGTAGATGCTGAAAATTGTGTCCAGACTAATTTTTGAAGGCTTCATTTTGGGACACTGGAGATTACAGCTCTTATAGCCAAGACATCTAGACAGGATTATTTTGGAGCACATATATATGTGTTCCATCCTAGGCTTTGTAACAATCAGAAAAGTTCTGAGGGACACAAAAGCTGAATTTGATTGGTCTAGTTTGACTTTATGCATGGGCCACACAGCTTTTCTTTTTATGACCAATTGAATGACTTTTAAGCTTTTGAAAGATACGTTTTTGAAACAATGTCTATAGTACTGAGTGCCTATGTCTTGAAGAAGCAAAGGAAAATCAGGAAGGCCCTAGAAGAAAATCTCAGCTAAAGCCAGCAGCTTTTGAAATGGCACAATCTAGATTTTCCTGTCTAGGGAAAAGATGTCTCACCTTTGGAACATGGAGTCCAAAGGGAACTATGGAGAACTGGGGTATTTTAGTTGCTGTAGTCTAATTTTGCAAACCTATCAATATGTCAGGGTGTTATTGCCACCATGTAATATCCTTTTCTGAGTTGTATCACAAAACAGTAAAACTTCATAATAGAGATACAGACATGTATCTGTATGTAACCTTGAATCCTGTTTGGAATGTACAGTCATAAGCATTAGATCAATAACAACTGTAAAAATCCAATCTTTTCAAAACATTAATTGGATTATCTTTATGTGAATCTGTGCTTACATCTGCAAACAGGATTCAGCTAATGACTGAAGAGGAAACTTTGTAGGGGTGGGAAGCGCTTGGTGAATTTTTAGCTCATGTTGAACTAATTTCTGGTCTCGGTACTTTCTGGATAGAAAAAAATCGTTTCAGAGAGAACCTGTTTTGTGGAGAGGGAGAAGATGGAGCAAGAGTAAAGCACAAGCACTGTTTGCTAGTATGACTCAGGACCCCTGTATTTGTTGTATAATATGTAGTTACAAGTTTATAATGGCGTCAGGATCAGAATAAAGGAAATCTCAGTGATCTGTCAACTGAGACTATTACTGTAGAAAAGAATAGTATGTAGATAGTGGAGTATGACTGGTGATAGCAGGGAGTAACATGGATGCTTGTACTACAGATATATCTCTGTTCCTTTACAGTGCAGCCACATAATAACATCTGATGAATACTCATGAAGTTCTTGTATTTTTCCTCACAGTAGAAAGAATTATTTACTTGCATTCTCTATCTCACCCCCAAAGAGAACACGAATGCAATATTTGCAGTTAATGACATATTTATCATTACTATGCTGTATTTTTCAAAGATCAGAACCTTAAGCAATAATATATCAAGAAAGAAATTATTGAATCTCAGTCTGCTTTATTGTAACCTTGGTGATGAGTATGTTACGCCAGATTTTCAGCAGTCCTTTAACTAGTATGTAAACACTTGTGTGCTCATAGAGTAATACAAAATTTAACAATGCAATATTTTCCATTAAAGAATAAATAAAAGACTGGCTTTTAAAAGTAAAAATGCCCCCTTTGAATTTTTAAAAAAATATTCCTTGCACCTCCCAGTGGGCTTGCAGGGCAATTTTATCACAAGGGAAGGATGTCAGGTTAACTTTCTGGTTTGAAAAAAAGTTCTCTTTGCCATAACACAGCCCAAGTGGCCCACAAAGTATGGTGAAATTGCACTAATGTGAGCACTTTTCGTTTAAAAATTAAAAATGCATATAGGAACATGACCCTCAGAAGTCCACGATGCACAGAGCCACTGTGGGTTTCCAAATACTACCAGTTACACTTAACTGTACAGGATGTATATGAAAAAATGCTTGTGAATTTCAAAACTACTAATAGCAATAGGCACAAAAAATCCAATGAAAAAATGTTAAGGCCAAAATGTCAGAGTTTTTAAAAATGTACGATATATAGCTTTCACCTGAAGTTTGAGCTTCGAAGTGATTCAGATTACAGTATCTATACAAGTTATTTAATATTGTTTTGTTATAAGCAACACTTTCCAAACATCTTTCTGCTCCACAAATTGAGAAAGGAGATGATATTACATAGGTGGTGGCCGTAAGTACCGTAACTGTAACTGTGGCCAAGGATTTGCTCCCTTGGGTTCAACCCAGACAGGATGTTGGTCATAAGGAAGAACTAAGAAGAATATGGCCAGCAAGGAACCACACGTGAGGAGTCCCGGAAGCATCCATTTCTGCAAGATGTATAATATCAAGTGGCCTAAGGGGACATCACAGAACCTGCACAGAGAGAGTAAATACAAAAAGGAACTGAAGACCTATTACTTTCTTTCCCGCAATCCCCAATGGCTGTAAGGCTAACTAGTCCTAGAGTGTAGGCAATACTTTGTCCTGGGAATACTTCATTATAACTCCTGATATATAAAGCTAATTACAGCCTAAATACCATAAAGGCACCAGATCCTGTCCAATCTTTGAAGCTAAGCAGAATCAGCCATGGTTGGTATTTGGATGGGAGACCCTCAACTTATGTCAGGGCGCTATATATTATATTTCAGGAAGGGATTGATAAAACTACTACCCTAAGATTACTTGCCCAAGAAAACCCTATGAAATTCATGAATTTGCCATAAATCAACATTCATTTTAAAGACACACACACACACACAGCTAGTTATGGTTACTGACTAATGAAGGATATACACTTTGTGCTTAAGTAATATTCAGTGAACATATTATATGAGCCTGATATATAACAAGTATTGTATATTCTAGAGCTACAATCTAGGACTGATTTTACCTTGCTAGTGTCCAAGTAATTTTCTAGGAAAGAGGGAAATATGAGAAGAAAGTAAAACTATTTCAGGGGACAAGTATGTGATTAAAGTCAAACCACAATCTGACAGGCCAAAAATGTCATCTTCTATCTGTGAAGATCTGGGTAACAATGCTGTCAAAAACATATGTCTGATAGTAGCAGGAGTTTCTCACCATTGAAATAGGATTTCAAATAAAGTCCCATCTGGCTTCTCCTCAACAGCAGCCATTAGCTCACCACACACTGGGAGTAAAGCTTGTTCTTGAAAGGCAGCTTCAGAACTTCTGTAACAAAAATCCAAAAATATGACAGCTTTTCAAATGTTGAAATACTTCATTTCATAGAGCAAATATTTATATTTCCACCTGGAATTTAAAAACCTCAAACTTTTGGAAGTACAATATATGTCACCAAATGAATAACCTCCAGGGCATGGTGGTCTACTTCCTTTCTGCTACTGTGCACTTGCTAGTAAAGCCTTTGGATTCTGAAATGGACTAAACTCATGATTTTGAAAGGTAGAGCAGATTTATTTCCCCATAAAATTAGCACTAATATGGGAAATAAACTATCGAATACATTCTTACTTAAGATAATCCTCAAAACAGTTATGAAAAGCCATTGTTCAAGAGCATATGTTATAATACATGGTGTGGAAAAGAAACAAAGTCTCTGGCTGCTGAAAAAACAGATGATTTTGAATTCAAGTACTTGTAAGAGTTAGGTGATTTTTTAGTATTTAGGTATACGTATTATGGTTTAACCCATTTCAACAATATGTATTGATTACTCTTCAAACTGCAAAGTCTGCTACCTGAAGTGGACCATCTCATCTGCTTAAAAGTTTACAACACTTACAGTTTTGTTGAGGTGGGTACTGTGACTTCTTGAAAGGTAGAAAACGTCACCTTTAGAGAAATAAAATTGACTAACATGATCCAAAAACATTCAGACCACTTAAAGCTGTCATGTCCTATTGGTTTAGAAGTTTGGTCTTACTGCTCTTGATTTGAGAATTTGAGACTCTGAAGTGAATTTTGATAAGTCCAACCCTTGGTAATTCCAAATAAATACTTTCTTCATTCTGCTTACAAAAACTAATGAAGTAAAAATAGACCAGGAGTGTACTGCTAGAATATAAATAACTCTTAATTTATCAATGTTAAAAAAACCTTTCAATTATTACTGCCCTTCACATATCTATTTTTATACAAAAGAGTCTAAAACATACTTATCACAGCATGTAAAGTGTCTGAAACAAGACATTAAATGTAGCTATTAGGATGAAACAAAATGATGCTTGTGTCTGCTAATGGGTATATAATAGGAAATGTTATGAAAAACTAAAAGCCTTTTGACTAAACACTAATTCAGACACACAATTTTATCCTTCTCTAAACATGGTAGAAATCAAACTCATTTCTACCATCTCAAAATTCATGGTCTTTGTTATCTGCTGTTAGTCCTACAGCAGCTTCTTCAATTTGCCACTTCCCAGCCTGACATAATTCAACTCAAACCCCAACATCCCAATGAGCTAACTGATTTGTATGGGATACCCCCAGTCCCAGAATCAAATTATGCATTTAACAAATAGTGTGTTACAGTATCTCTTCAATTATCATACTTCAGACTCCAGATGTGGATAGCATGTTTCAGCATCCCCAGGGGAAGGGAAATCTCCCTGTGCCTAAAAGAACTAATGGAAAATACTAAAACAGTGTCAGCTCTTCTATATCCACAACATTCTTGCTATATTCAAATATTATATAAACTCCAACAATGTGCAGCCTTAACTACAGGAAGGCATTAGGACATGGGTTAACTCTCTGTTCTTATGAAAGAAAACTTGTACCTTGGAAGTATAGGGACATGGAGATCAGCTGGCCCCAGCAGAAAGCATGCACATTCTCAAAATTTTGCAGTGGTGATGTAAGTATGCAGGAAGAAAACAAGAACTGAGTTTTCTTAAAAGAGTGTTGCACTAGGATATAATTTTCCATTTCTCAAGGAAAAAATGGTTTAGTAGGTATAAGGTGACTATGCATAACCTTCTTGACCCTGAGAACTGCATATGCTTAGCTAGTCAATAACTTCATGCACAGCCAGAACATTCTCTCCATTCCACTGATTCTGATGCAGTGAGTTCTTCCCTTGCTCTTAGCAAGCGTCAGGAGAAAGTAGTTATGCCATTGGCAGGAGAGAATTCAGTAAATGTGAAGGAACCTGTTATTAAGAGGTGTTGCACACCAATCCAATGTCAACTCCTTGATTCCAAGAGAAGAATCAAATGGTGAAGGTTGCACCCAAAGAGTTATTTTATAGTCTGTCTTTTCTTCACAATACATACTTTAGATGGCTAACTCAGCCCAACCAAAAAAATATTTTGGTGCCTTGGTTTTTAGATCTGTTCCTGGGGTTATTTGGGGCGCTGATTCAGAAAACTGCATTGGACAGAACACACAATCTCTGATCTCTGTTGATCAGTATGTTAAATGACTGGAAAGTTTGTATCATAAATTGTGCTTTTGGTATGAAATAAGTAGGTTTTTATGTTGTACACTTTTCTTTTAATTTTTAACATGTTCCCTTAAGCTTAAAATATATTAATTTAAACACTACATTAAAATATCCTATTTTTTATTGGATAGCGGAGCAAAGAGTGGTATATGACATATGATCTGTATCTCAAACACTGGAGCTGATAGGAGGAAACTAATGCCATTTTTGGGATCAGCGGGTCAAACATACCCAGAAACAGTTCTAATATTTGAGGCACCAAAATGTGTGTTGATCAGTGTAATAATTCCAAGACATACTCTGAAAACACAATATTAATTAAAACATAAATGTTATGTATAATAAATACAACAATAAAGGCTGTTCCTCAGCACCAACCAGTAAAGACCCCAACTTACATGTCAAAGGCTTGTCTAAATAAAAGTGGGTTTGCCTGCTAGCAGACTGAGTACAAATAAAAGAAAAATGTTTCCCACACCTTGTAAACTTTGGTTTTTTATCAAAAATCTTCTGCACCATTATGCAGAAGAGTATCTGCAAGTCCAATCAGCTATAAATTGGGTTAATGGAAGTGCAACATATCATCTTTTCAGATAAGCATTGGTACTGCTCGCCTGAATTTTTTTGGCTTTATTTAGCATTTTACAAAATAGGGAAAATTTGCATTTGGTTTTACTTCCAATGTAAACCCCAAGGCAATGAAACTAGTGTTGAGCTGATGATAGCCTGGTAGCTGGAAAGTAAGCCCATTTGCAGTAAATAACCCTATTTGATAGTAATTGCTGCATAAACGGCATTAAGCACAGATAAGAGTATGTTTTTCTTCTTTGTTTTGTCTTTTGCTCCTGTACCAGAAATCAATTACCTTTCCATAAAGACAAAGCTCTTTACTTGCACTTATTTAGATAGTGGGGGAGTCTTTTACCTAGGAAAGGGGTAATTTATAAATATAATAGAAGGAACATTATCTCATTGTGAAAAATAATTTTCCATTAAACTTAATAGAATAGCAGTGGAAACAAAAAAAAGAAAGATACTGGTGCTAAACAAAACAGTAAGACCAGGATGTTCTGTAGTTCTCACACATCCAACCACTTTCCCTAAGGCAAGGATTGTTCATGTCTTGCACCAAGGGATCAAATCTGAATAAATTAGAAAAACCAATCACCTGAAAATTTATCTATTTTACATACTATATATTGGCTTGGTTTACATGTTTTATTTAGAACTTGACAGTTGGAGTTCAGTGAAATTTAATCTTTGCACTCCCTTATCTGAGGGTCAGCACACTACCAACTAAGAATGTATTGTCGGAGGCTTTCATGGCTGGAATCGCTGGGTTGCTGTAAGTTTTCCGGGCTGTGTGGCTATGTTCCAGAAGCATTCTCTCCTGACGTTTCACCTGCATCTATGGCAGGCATCTTCAGAGGTTGTGAGGTTGTAAGGATGCCTGCCATAGATGCAGGTGAAATGTCAGGAGAGAATGCTTCTGGAACATGGCCATACAGCCTGAAAAACTTACAGCAACCCAGTAACAGATAAGACTTTGCAGCATAATGACCTGCATGTTAGAATCTTTTACAGTCAAGACAGAATATTTTCAAAACAGACCTCAAAGACACAATAGATATCATCCAGCAAGTGCTGCTTATCACCTGCTTAGGTGAAGAGCAACATTTGTTAAATTCCCTCTTCTATAGGAGCTGTCTCCTGTTTTTGGTCTGATAATCTTACTTTCTCACACTTCCTCTTGCTTCTTGTTGTCTCATCCCCGTTCTTAACTATGATTTGTTTGTAACTCTAGGACTGCCTGTACAATTTAAAAAACACAACTTTTTTGCTAACATTGCTATAGTAATTTAGGATGAACCTACTGAAATCAGTAGGACTTTAAATGACTCTGCCTGGAAGTTTTAAGTATGATCACAATCATTAGTACATTATTTGTGTGATCCATAGCATCTCAGCACACTGTGCACAACTTAAACTGATCTAAGATTTTCTAAAACCTGCTGTTTTCATCAGTTAGTGGAAGATGCTTATTAATGAAACATCGGGCCCTTATAGACAGGTCCAAAACACAGGACCTCTCTCGCTTAACCCAAGGTGCCCAAATGATACCTCGGAAAAATGCAAATTAATCTGAAAAAAACTAAAATTTCCTAGTTTGCTCTGAATTAATTAAAAACCTGGAAAAGTCTGAACCTTAAGTTAAGATCCATATCTTTCCAGGTGAAGGCTTTGTGGGGATTGATTTCTAGGATTGCTTTTGTAGTCCCAGGGCCAATCCCCACAGCCATCCCGGTACTTCAGTCTCCTGGAGCCTGAACGAGCGGGAGGGTTCCAACCCCCTGCAGCCCCCCCCCCCCATTTTCCCCAGAAAACCTTAAGAGAGGGGCCTACCGGCAGTACAGCCCTCTCTGTACAGTACTCCCAATGTGAGAAAATGATTCATGGAGGGGGGAGGGGGTTCCCTCTTCTTCCCCTCCACCTTTTCATGCCTCAGGAGTACTCTGCAGAGGAGCCTGTGTTGCTGACAGGCCCCGCCAGTAAGTTTTTTTTAGAGAAATATTGGTGTGGAGGGGGGCTGGATATCATCCCAGGTCAACCTTTGTAGCCACCCCTCAAGGGAAAGTCCAGGCTTAAAAGTGGGTTAAAATAATCCACTTCCTCCCAGATTTCTGCCCTGTCTGGAAGGGACCACAGAGTACCAGTAATAATAAAAATAATAACACTTTATTTGTACCCCGCTACCATCTCCCCAAGGGACTCGGTGTGGCTTACACGAGGCCGAACCCAAACACAACAATACAAGCAATAATCACAACAATACAAGCAATTAAAATAAGAACATAGACAATAGTACTGAATTTAGAAAAACTGGATTGACAATGATACTGAATATAGTGCTCTACAGCACATTTTTAAAAATAAAAACTCTGACAAACACTAGATGTGAAGGTAAGAAAGGGCAAATTATTATCTCAGGAATGATTCTATTATTCAAAATGTCATCTGCTTTTTTGAGATGTTAAATGGCAAATCTTGTGTTGTTAGGATTCATCATACTAAATTTTCCTTTTAATAATAATGTCCCCATTAAGTAGTGACTGCATTATAATTGGGTACAGGCTGCGTAGTCTGTAGGTACCACTGGAAAGCTAATGGCCCTTTCTTTTATTTTCTGAGTTCTGACGTCAGAATTTTGTTTTTAACTAGATTGAGGGCTATTTGGCTCCCTTTATATGTTCCTTAAGGGCTTTATTGTTTTTTGTTTTTTGTTATTTATTTTTTTTTACTGCAGTGTTACAAGCTTGTGTTTACACCATCAGGATCTTTTACATTCACAAAGACTATGAGAGTATGGAAATTGACTTCCCTTTTCCTAAAACATGACATGAAGTACTTTGGCATAGCTTTGTGGCTTACTGGAACAGTGGCTGTAATGGCAGATTTGCTACTGTGTGTTGGATTAAATGCCTTCTTGCATGCTTCTACATGCATGCATGGGGAAATGCCATAAAACCAGAGATCTTTCTCAGGATGAAAGACCAAGGTAATTTTCAATTTCCTCCTATTTAGGTTTTGTCCCTCTCAGCTCATATTTACACAATAAAAAACACAGCGCAATCACACCAACATTAATCATTAAAATAGATCATAATTGACAAGTATAAGCGACAATATCCAACTAAAAAATTCAGTCACATGCTCTTCAAAAGTAAATATCATATTTTCACTTGTGCACATTCCTACATTTTTTCATACACCACAGCAAATGTGTTGGACACTGTATCTGTAATGCAATATGAAGCCACAGCCATTGCTGCTTTTGCTTATGTTGTTTATAAGCAAGTTTATAGAAAGTAGGATGCTTCCAGTCATACAGCTGCTGCCTAGATATGAACACATTACTGTGGTAATTGCATATTAAATAAATAGAAAACTAATGTTCCAACAAAATATGGAAACATAATCATGGGAAAATATACATATGATAAGAGATACTGCATAAAGAATAATACCGATGTAAATATGATTCAAATTAAGTGAACACTGACTTCATAAAAGAGATTCTACACCTGTTCATATATTAATTGAAAAACAGTTATCCTTTATAGAGCCATTCTGTCTTTGAGATCATCTGGAGAAACCCTGTTGACAGTGCCACATGATTCTGATGTCCATTTAGCAGTTGTCTGGAACAGGACATTTAAGTGCCCTACTATAAGAAATGTTCTTTCATCAGAAATTTGACATGCCTCATCTATTTTTAGTTTCTGTCAAAATGTTAAAAATATATGTACTGGCTTAGGAAGGCCTTCCTTCCTTAATCCAACCTTGTATCATTGTTTTCAACCTTGGTGTGCATGATTGATGCGCATTGCTCTGAAATTCTTAGTTCAAAGCAGTGAAAATTATTTCTAAATAAATAATCTGTCTAGCCCATTACTTAAATGTTCTTTATGTCTACAAAAACAATGGGACTAAATCCTATCCAATGTTATACAAGTGTGCCATCTGCTCGGGCAATGTGAATTTTCTTTCCCTCTCCAGTACTCCACCCTCTGCAGGAAGACCTGTCATTACAAAAACATGGACACAGACTCTGCTAAAACTGTAAAGGTAAATTTTATGTTCTAACAGCAAAGTAGCAGTTGAGTTCACCAAGCATACTCCTAGAAGTGGAAGGAAGAAAACAAATCTTTATGTTTTTTCCTCTTTGTGATGTCTACACTTACCGGTACTATTTCCTCTGCCAAGGATCTGATGTTGTCCAAAGGCACTGGAGGGTTCTTGAAAGATGGCAACACCCCACAGAAAGGGCTAGGCATGGCCTCACCATCACTAAACTCCTGCTGAAGATAGTAAGGTTATCTTAGAACTCAGACAATATTGTAGAGACTCAAGATATCTTCCTTTAAGGTAGTATTTTTATCGTACAAATGAGCAGTCATTCCAGTGAGATCATGAAAAGTGAATTAGTAAGAAGGAAAAGTAACATGATGCAAAAGGAGTTTCGCAATGCAAATAAATCAAAGCAGACAAAAAGTAACAGAGGGGAGTAACTTTGCTGCACTGTGGCATCCATGTGAGAGGGTTAGTGGACTGAGTCCATGCTGACTACTCAACTATACAACATTCTGATCAATGGTCTATGCATCTGCAAGGCACATTTGTGTCACACAGACCATGACGTAGTAATGAAGATTTACATTCCTAACCACAGCTTCCTAACCCATGTCTATGTTATTCTCTGAATTTTAATTTTACAATTAAAAGCCGATCTTTAGCGCTTCTGTGCTACTTCCTTGTGCTAACACCATCCAACCTCTGTTAAAACAAAGTTTAAAGCACTAATATTGATATCTCCTTTACTTGCTCTAACATTTCAATGATTTCTGAAGAAATTGCAATTTTCTAAAAGAACAGATGCAAATTATCAAATTTCAATCTACATCTACATCTACATTGGGATATTCTGCTGCTGGGGTTTGACTAGGGCTAATGCAAGGACCACATTTGATAAATTCTAGTCTTACTTCTCATCTGACAAAGCTCATACATATACAAATTATTCAGAAATGAACCTTATATAGTAACCACTTGTCTGAGACAGGTCTATACAAGATATGTGTTGACATGTTTCCTGTAGCTACAAGAACAAAAAACTCAAAAAAGAAATACTTGTATGTTGTTGCTCTTACTTTCTGTGATTCTTCAATCTCCATACAGAGTGGCTGTACAGGAACCTGTAAGCTAGTCTTCATGTTTTGTAGGGAATCATTTGGCTGCCTATGTTAAAAAAAAAATGGAATATACAATAAAGAAATACTATTTTAAAGTCTGTATTTCAGATTAAAATGTTAGTCATCCAATCAGAATAGCATCAGCTCTATTTAGTAACAGAAAATATTGGAAAAAATAGTGAATAACACTTATAGGTGTTATCGCCCTAGGGCTGAGAGCGGCGGTCAACAAATGCAAATAGGTTGCAAACTGAAAGTAGACACAATTTCCTAAAAGCTTATACATATGCAAAGGAGCAAACTTTCTTTCTCCAGAAGAAAGGAGAAATTTTTCCTTAGTCTGAAGACTTCTTAACCAGATTTGAGTTTAAAATTATAAAGATCCCTTCCTATCAAATTTGTTCCTTTCACACTACAGTGCAAGATAAGACTATGCATCTCCTATAGCACCTAAGCACCTAGACCTGACCTCAGTGTCTCCCTAGCAAATCAAAAAGAAGACTGCAGATTCTTAATGCCAGTCATACAGAACTGGGTCACGGGGCATGATGTGCGTGCCTAACAGGGAGAGATGGATAGGTCTTGCAGAGGGCAAAACTAATTTCACTGGAGATAGCAAATTAAGCTGCATCTGTTCTTTTGCTTGAGAACTTACAAGTCTAGCTACCTGGGGCAGAAGAAATTGTTCATCACATTTGCCAGATTAAGACAGCAAAATCTGTTATATTTCATTTCACTTGGTTTCTAACTTTTTAATCTAGCCAATTTCTAGGTTAGATTATCATTCTTCAAGTTTGCACAAAAAATTATATGCATTTACATGTGCATTACTTTGAAAATGCACATTTTGTGCAATTTTTCCAAATACAATGTACATTGTATTAGGAAATTGATTTCATTAATTTTGTATTTGTGTACCCCAAACACCCCAAATACACTGGTTTTATTAATTATACATTTGTGTACACTTTTCCAAAATATATAAAGCTGTGTATGCATTTTCATTGGAAAATTATGAAAACTGGTTGAAGTGTCAATTGGGTAGATCTGCATTTAAAGTGCAAATTGAACCAATTTTTCCATCCTTATTTCTAGGTTTCTTCACAAATTGCACTGTAGATTCATGGCATTTGACAAGAGATATATTAATATTACACATACATTCATACATACAGATTATATCTATATCTATATCTATATATAATATTTGCAGGGCAATTGTGATTTTTTTAATCTAGGCATCGCTAATTATGTGCCTTCTTAGGGTACTCAGTTTAAGTGTTTCAGATGTCTTGAACATTATTGAGAAAGTAATGCACCATTTTTCTGATATTATGGATAATTTTTATCTTTGTATTAACTCCAAAACCACTTAAACCGCTGTTTCTTAAACTGTGGGTCCTGAACCCAAATGTTGGGATCACAAAAATTGGGATCACAAAAATTGGCAACAGTAAAGATTTCTGAACACCAGGTAATGACTGTTTTAGACATTTACACGAATCTGTAAGCAACAACACGAAGTGTTTACAGTGTACTCTGCAGAGAATGCTTCAACTGTACTTAATAAAAAGGGGAAATACAGGTAAGCTTTTTTTTAGCAAGCCTAGCAAATACAGATTTATTATCAGTACAAGTTTTATTTTTATACCTATTTTATATGTCTGTATAGCTGGGGTCAAGCAAAAACTTCTCAAGTAGAAAGGGGCCATGAATGGAAAAAGTTTAAGAAGCCCAGCTTCAAAGCATAAAAGCTCAAATTGGGCTCCCACAACTGAAAAGCAAGAAATCCAAATTTATTCATCGAAGGCAACTGAAAATGTGTCTTAATAACTTCATTTTGTGGCTACTATAAAGAAGCACAAATGAAACGCTCTTACAAACTTCCAAACAACATTCCAGAATGCAGTATAATTTTGGGGCATTTTCTTGGTGTGTGCATTTTATCAACTGAAACAACTTGATGTTTTCCAAATGTTTTCCACTATAGTTGCCATAGTTCCTCAGCACTATGCATATTGCCCGGGGCTGATTAGAGCAGCTGACAACAACTTTATGGGAATGCATTCCCCATCTCTGCACTATAGTATAGATGCAATTTATTTAAAATATTTTAAAAATTGCTGTCCTGAAAGGTTTATTTGTAGCTGAAGACATAATGGTGATTCTACAAGCAACAGTAACAAAAATGACAGATATATTGGTAGCTGGACATTTCACTTTGGAGTGAACTAGGTTCACTCTCTTTATTTATCCTAACCACTGAACCCAAAGGAAACAATGAATTCTAACAATACTTACGTATCTGGATGTTGATAAGACTGACACAAGTGGTCTTGAAGTCTGCGGACTTCCAGTCTCAATTCCTATTTGGAGATCATTAAAAATTGAGGTACATGCAGAATAGCTGCTACTGTAGTATGAATTGAATAAAGGAAGTCAGCAGCTAAAGTATGTTATCAGAAGTCTAGTTTTCTCACATTCCGTTTCATTTCACTGCAACTGAAATTAGCATTTTCAAGTTCCTTACAGTCTACAACTTTGTAGCTCTATTTGTTAAAAATTAAAATAAAGACAAAATGTAATATGTAATTATTTTATGAATAAAATGTACTTTTTATAAGACAAATGTAATGAATTTATGCCAAACCATAACACTTTTTCTGTCCCTGAAGTAATGTTATTTTCAATCTGAAAATGCAATAATAGTGCTTAAAAATTAATGTATTTTTGTGATTTCAAACTTTCTAGAAATTTTCATATCTATATGCAATGTATGTGCCATTTCACTGAACTCTTCCTGCCTGAAAACAAAATCCCCATTACCTCAACTACTGTTCGGTATTCATCAAGGACCACTGTCAACTCTTCGATTTGTTTTGTTTTCTATAAATAACAAGATCAAGCAAACAAGAGAATAACTCAGCCTCATGCCAAAGCAAGCTGTGATCTTAAACAAACATTTGTTACCATTTTTTAAACATAGCACCAACTTCTTTTCATAACCAAATTATGCCTAGCCATGAGGTTGTAGTGACACCTAGTGATGTCTGAATGCAGTAATGCAGCAAAGCATATTTTTAAAGTATTTTCTCGCCATGTATTTTATAAGCTACAAATGACTAAAATAATTTGAAATTATCAATAAATAAATGTAAGGATGCCATGTTTAATCAATTATATGTGTAGGATAATAGTTTTAATTTTGTTTAAGAATAAACCAGCTCAATTATATTGTCTTAATAGTACTTCTAAAAGATGTAATTAAGATAGCAAATATCCTCTTTCAAAGATTATGAAAAACTTTCGTAAAATAGAAAAAAGAAAATGTCACCTTGACAATGTTTGGTGCAATACATGCATGTAGGATAACCCAACTTATTATTTTGGGTTAAGCAATATTCTTTTCTTTTTTTTTTCAAAGAGAGGCTTCCTCAGGTGCTGGGAGATGTCAATTTGTCATACATAGTACAAAATTGCTCTTTCCTATGTGATTTGTATTTAACATGTTTTGTTTCTAATTACTGAAAGGTAAATACTATATAGGCTTAAATTGCCTATGTTGTTGCTGATGAATGCATCTCTAAGGAATTCTGATTATGAAAACAAAAGTGGGATTATCATAGGCAAATGAATTCCCCATAACATCCAGTTGGAAAATAGTTGAATGCCTCACACCCACCATATTGCCTACATGTTAAACTTGCCCTCTTCCCTCATTCCAGCTTACCTCATTAAGAGCAGCACCCTTACAGGAGATAAGTTTTTCATACTCGCATATTTTGGACTGCAAGAAAGCAAGAATACAAAATCACCCTAAAGATAAAAATCCAAGCTGGGGGGGGAAAAACAGAAGTTATCTATACAGCTAGCTGAATGTTTATGGATACCTTCAAACTGGCTTTCTTTGTAAATAGCTCCTTGATTTTACGCTTAGTATTTTCTTTTTCTGTAAGTAATTTCTTGTTCTGTAAAAAACAAAATAGGCTCTTAATTTTATTAATTTTCCATATACTTAAAAATAGCTTTAGTTTAGTATCAAAATAAATAGGGATGATACCCACTGGGATGGGATCAGAGTCTTGGACATGTGTTATCAAAAAATTGGACCCCCAAATTTTGAAAAATAAAATAGATTATGAGAAATGGCTCTATTGGGACTTACAGCGAGTGCGTGAACCTTTTTCTTACAGTAACTCTCTTCATGAATTGCATTGAAACGTCCCTTAACACACCCTAGACTCTAGGCAAATTACCCTAATCCCGTTAATTGGGAAATGGGAGGGAAATGTTCAAGGGATTTAAGTCAGAGCCTGGAGGTCCTTCTTCCTGTTTTCATCTGATATGATCCAGGAGCGTTTCCTCTTCCTTTCCCGAGACAGATTGATCTGTTGCAACACCCATTGAGCTAATCTTCACCTGAAAGCACCTATTGTATATCTGGACTAAACCTATTGTTTCTACCAGACCCTGGATATTAAGCTCATCATTGATCGCCACATCACATTCCATCCTGATTGCACCCCTTTTGGGAGCAAATCAATAAATGGACTGACTACAAATAACCCAATAACAGTTTATTTGAGTTTTCCACCACGACAGGGGTCAACCAATGAAGCAGATCCTAGCCGAACAGTTTCTGAACCTATCAGGAGCCAGTGTGGGTATCTTGAATAGCTATCCAATGTAATAAATATGTTATGTGTTTACAATTGTAGTATTTCAGTACTTTGGAGTTCTTTCTCCGCTGACATCCTCTTTGGACATTGAGAATAAACATCTAATTTTGCCTTTGACCCACAAGCTTGATACAACATGAACCCAAACCCATGGTTTCTAGAAGAGGTGAAATTACTTGACACATGCAGTGAAAAAGACATGTGTCTAGGATAAGGTGCATGGTTTTTTAAAAAAATACGGACTTTCATCATATATGCAGTGGTTCTTTATGGGATTGAATACTATTCTATATTTTGCATTGCAGCAGAGATCTCTTGTGTTCTAATACCATAAGGACATAAGAAGCTGCCTTTATTGAGCCATATCTCAGTATCTTGCATGTGCTTGTCTTCTAACACTACTAACCTATCTGATTTTTCATGTTCCTGTTACATCTACTCACCTCTTCCTGCAGATTATCCACTTGAACAGATAGCAACTGATGTTCTTTTTCCTACAGCATGAAGAAAGGTGACTGTTTCGCCTTTAGGGGTATTTAGAATTTGAAGATAACATTTTACAGCCAATAAAATTGAGTGATTTTTGCATCCACAATTAATGTGAAAAGCTATTTTAAATGGGCCATAATAACTGTAAACAATTACATGGACAGCAATTTCCAGAAATATAACTACAACGCACAAGACCATGTCTGAAAAATCTAAATTATCAAATCATTTACATAACAATCAATGAAAGTGAAATTACATAAGTCCATGTAAGATATTTCCTCCATTAAACAATTCCAACATTATCATTTAAATAACTGAATATCAAATACGGACAAAAGAGAACAAGAAGCCATCTTATGAATCCATTCTACAATCGAAAGTGAATGGTCGGGAGAACTTACTAGCTGTCGAGTTTGTGCATGCAGTCTATTATTTTCCTCTTCTAGAGTTTTTGAAAAAACCTTCAGATCTTCTAATTCATTTGCCACAGCTCTAGCTTGCTCTAGGGCTTGTTGGGTGCTACAATAAAGTGTGAATATTCAGTTACAAATATTCTATCACCAAAATTACTATCCATCATATTATGTGATGAAGAACTAAGAACCCAACAAGGAAAGAATGTGAAAGAATTGAGGGATCAAATGACAGGATCAAAAGTAGGATGAGTAAAATGTGATCAAAGACCACACAGATTTCAAGGACCTGTTATTATATTCAGAATAAAACATGAGTGTTAAAGAGAAAGTTCACACAACTGGTTGTGTCACTGGCAAGCATCAATTTTCTGAACTTTGATCACAACAAATAACACCACAATACCACAGACATTTCTAGGTATCCTTTTCTACCTCCTACCACTCCCTCCATATTACTAAGCCTGTCTTCCCAATGTGGTGATCTCCAGAATTCTTGGGCAATAACTCCCAACATACTTATCACTTATGGCTTGACAATGGGAGTTGTAGTCAGAGATATAGCAGATACTAGATATGTGATTGTGACTTGGACTGTTGTTGTGCCTTCATTCACTTCTGACATATGGCTGTAAATATCTATTGAGACAGGGTTTGACTTTGCTTTCATCTGAGGCCGGGAGAGCGTGACTTGTTAATACCTTCCACTGGGATTCCATGGTTGACTGGAGATTTAAAGCCTGGTCTCCAGAATCTTAGCCTCGTGTTCAAAAGTACTACATTATGCTGGCTCCTATTATTTAGGACTAATCTTAGTCCTAAATAAGGGCACCATGTTGCAAAGTCCCAGTATTTACCTCCGTAGTTTCCCTTTCAGCTCAGAGATTTCCTCAGAGAGTCTTGAATTCAGCTCTTCTGCAGTCTCAATAGTCCTCTGCAGCTTGTTATTCTGCACTGCTAGCTGCTTGTTTCCTTGCTGCAAGTCTTGGATGCTATTCATCAGGTCTGCTGCCTCTTCTCTATCATTACAAAGAGGTAGAATAGCTAATGAGCGAGAAATTGATTATTTTTACCATTCCAGTCTATAAAAATAGCTAACTGCACAAGATTTTCCAGTTTTCGCCCTGTGAATGTAAGATGCATGCTCCTGAGATCTAGTGACTACAGATACTACCAATAGCTGGGCTTTGTAACAAAATCTGCTACAACTAGATTTAGAAGATCAGGGACATCGGCCTCTTTTCATTCGTTCCTTTTCCTTATTCAGCACAAGATTTTACCATATCACAGAATCATAGAATAATAGAGTTGAAAAGACCACATGGGCCATCTAGTCCAACCCTCTGCATGCAGGAAAAGCACAAAGCACCCCTGACAGACGGCCATTCAGCCTCTGGTTAAAAGTTTCCAAGGAAGGAGCTTCCACCACACTCCGAGGCAGAGAGTTCCACTGCCGAACAGCTCTTACAGTCAGGAAGTTCTTGGCAAATGTAAATATGGCTTATAAATTTGACTAATTCCTAAATATTATCTAATCTCCTAGGTTAAATATTGTTTAACAGTCACTGCTCCTGTCGTATTACTGGCCTGAAAAAGTAGATCAGCACTATATTACTTTTTCTTATAAGTCACACTTTTACTTTCTCTGCTGCGTGCGAATGCAGAAATAGTTGCCTTCTCTATTATGTACAGATACCTGCCCAGTGAGTACAGGTAAGAACAAAGAAACTAAAGAGGCATATTGGTATCACAATTTGGATAAAATGTTTAAAAGAAGGCTTTTTACGTACATTTGGAGCATCTGATATTTGGGAAACAGTAGAATAGTAGGATGGAGAACTACCTTAAGAAAGAAACTTCTTAGGCACTTTGAAAATTTAGGGCAAGGAACAATTATTTGCATCTTTCATGAACATATTACTTTCTACCCCACCTCAATCCAACAGGATAGGCAATAAAAACATTATTATTTTTTGTTATTCCATAACTACAACTGTATAAATATACTTTATAACAAGACTTATATAACTATCACTCTGCACTACATGCGAAGAATTAGATTTATATTCATGAAAGATCTTGCTAAAATAGAAACAATTTCTTCTTAAAGGTCCTGTCACATCATTCTCCCTTCTTTCGTCATATGTTTTAAGAGTCTAACTCTTTGAAAATTACACAATAATGTAGGACAATATCTGCCTATTAACATTACTAACCCTTCTTGCCTACAGTCTGCAATCCAATCTTTCATGACAGCATAGAAGGTAGAAAAATTAACAGCAATCCCTCTTTCTTCAGGGTCCAATCTTTTATACAGAGACTGAAACCTCCAGTCTTCACAACTTTGCCCTGTCATTTCTTGTAAGTATTCAATAATTCGGAAAACTGATACTTCTCCTAGAAACAGAGCAGAAATTGAAATTACTCAAAAAGAAACCAAAAGAGGGACTATTCTTTCCTATTTAGCAGTACACCCTATAACACTATATTGTATATGTCACTGTTTCTTTCATCTTGGAAAGGAATTTGACTTTTTCTGGTTGTAACTAATAATCAACTCATGAGCTATTCTATTTGTCTATATAATCTTAAAATACTACCATAAAAGCAGCTCAGATGATAATTTATCTTTTAAAACAAGATTCTAGTTCTTTGTTTCAAGAAAAAAAAAGGCTGCTGAACTATCTGTAACCTGAAGGACTGGAGATAGGAGACAGAGGTCTGTTCTTAAATGTCTTTTTTAAAGCAATACATTGTGTTCCATGTCCTCCCAGTTTTATCCTGATTATTACTTTTTTCTGTGTATACTTCAATTAAAATCCATCTATGTCATTTCAAATTCTTCCTTTTAGAAGAGCTGCTTCCCAATCCCTTTTTGACAAAGAGGTTTTTTCTGCGTGGTACTGTGAAATCCACACCTGTGGTATTTCCATGCGTCCACGCAGCTGACTCGGATCTTTCTTGAAAGCTTTTCCTAATTAGGGACTCCAGCCCCGCCCATCTACTCCTAATAAAGCCAGGCAGCGGGGCTTGGAGCCTTAATTCCTTTTGTCCGCGAAAGCAGCAACAACTCGGTGTTCTCTCCTAAAACAACTATTGGTTTGACTCAAGGACTCCAGTTTGACTACTCTAACAGACAGCAATTCCAACTTGTGTTCTGGGACCTTTGTTTATCCTATTCAGGCCAGTATGGCATTTTCTTTGAAATGTATGGCTTATGGGGGGAAGTTGCTCCAGGGTGACTCCCACCCCCTTTGTGTTTCTTGCCTTTGGCAATGGGCAGTAACTTACCTTCTTTTCTTCTGTTCCCCTCGCTCAGAAAGCAGGAGGGAAGAAGACTTTTAAACAGCCTACCACCCCTTTACAGAACCAGGAACTGGTAGAGCTTGTGGCAGCAAAATGCCACTGTGGCTTGGTGCCAATAACTTTGTTTTGGGTTGCAGCCACGCATCTCAGCTGTTTCTGTTTTTGAAGGACAGCTTGCTCTCACTGCCCATGCTTTCCCTGTCCCATTTACCCGAGCAGGCAGTGGACGCTGCAACGATCCCTGCCATGCTTTTGCCCCCCTCAGGGGAGGGGAGGCTCAAGGCAGCCACGCCACCTGTGTGAGTGATGGCTAGCCAAGGCTTTGTGTCCAAGCCCATGGCATATAACTCCTTGGAGGGGACTTCGGGCTGCAACGATCCCTGCCATGCTTTTGTCCCCCTCAGGGGAGGGGAGGCTCAAGGCAGCCATGCCACCTGTGTGAGTGATGGCTAGCCAAGGCTTTGGGTCTAAGCCCATGGAATATAACTCCTTG